CAAGGACGCCCCTGCGAAATGGCAGGTAACCATCAGACGTGTTATATGTAGTTGGTCGTCTATCGTACGTCACACGCCAGGTTGGTGCCGTTGAGTCATTATTTGAAGTCACCGAAGATCGAATTGACGGAGAAGATTATATTTGTATTTGACAAAATAAATTGGCTTGGCAAAGACTGTACGTAGCATATATCAACTTAGGCACCGACAACAAAAGCACTGAGACTGAATATATAATCCTAGAAAGTAACATTAATTATAATGTGACAGTTTTGAAGACACATTTTGACCGTCAAAGAGTATATTTATCAACGACTGAATGTTAAAGAGCTTCAAATATTATTTTGGATAATATGTGGCTAATAATTGAAATTGGTCTACAATTTAATTTTCTTCCTCAAAAGAGTTAATAGTAATAATAATTTATTACATTGGAGAGTAGGGAACTGATCTTTTAGACATCAAAAGCGGTTACGGAAAAATGAAGCATGACAGAATTTCACAGCCAACTGCTCAAGTCAAAAAAATTTTGCCACCACCGTCGAGATCTGTAGTGACCTTCATATCTATTACAAGAGTTAGAAATTTATTGGAATTAAATGGTTTCTATTTTCATAAATTTTTTTTTTTTTTAAAGAAATTTACAATCTATACCTTAGACACAATGAGTAAATGTGAAACAGAATATATATAAGGTATCAAAACAATTAATATTAATAATAAAAAGAGTTTACAGTAAATTATATAGTACATGTTACGTCTGAGAGCAGCCACCCATTAATGACACTCTCGCTCGTTTTTGTTTTTTTTTTTTGAGTATACTTAATTATTTAATACTTGATTTATTCATAAATTTTTAAAGAATTTACTGATGACTTTTACGTACAAAAATGTTTCTCAAAGCAATATTTTGACATTCAATACTTTGGGAAACGTCCAAACGCTTATTACTATTATTAGTAAATAATATACTATAAATAATATTTATTATGCATTGTTGTACGATGAATACAACACCGGACATGCAATTTCTACTAAAATGTTGTAAATCTAATGCAACAGCTACTTGGCGATTCTGCTCGGGTATCAAGTTTTGGGTTTCCGAGTAAACGCGAGGATATATTATGAAATATGACGTTTTATCGTCGGAAAACATTATTTAATCCTCTAAGTGCGCGTTTATATGCGAAATACGATTTCAGTATAATAATCAGATTGACATAAAATATATAAAATTTATAGTCTCCGGGAAGTTATTTTTTAATGTGTATATATTATATTTATATGTACGTCACCTCCAACAAAAATATATTGCAACATAAAATAATGAAATCTTTGCCCTATATAGTAATCTAGTAAATATTAATGAGAAAGAAAATCACATCCTGATGTTCTGCGTTGCAGATTGTATTTAAGTCGAATAATATGCTACCGCGGGGAAAAAACAAAAATATCATTCTCGTTTAATCCAAACCCGTAAACATTATCGTATAATTGTGTGTGTATAATATGTAATAACATAATATTATCACATAAACCAGTAATAAGCGATAGTGTTGATAATAATATATTGAATTCAGAATTTAATTACTAAGGATTAAAAATCTCGTGCCACTAATAATATGTATATTAAATATTAAAATGTGTCGTATTATTAATAGATGCGAAATAATCGTATACTTATATAAAGAGACTTATAATCGGCGTACAATCGGTAGTATGCAAGAATTGTGAATAAAACAATTGTCATATGCGATTTATTTCGTTAATACCTACTGATTGGGGAGGGGGACACGGTTTTGCGGCGATTGGTTACGGCAGATTTGGTTTACCAGATGATCGTACGGACGTTAACATAATATTATGATCACATTGATCCATCATGCAATAGGTATAGTAATAATCATGCGATAAATGTTGATTTAGGTTTTTAAGTCTTCTCTATAATATGTTACTGCAGCCGCATAAAAATCAGACAACATGCAACGATTAATT